CCCCCAGTGTGGCCCTCCCTGAGCTCTGTTACCAGCAGTCTCCCTCCTATTGGCCGTGATTGAGCCCCCTGGCTGCCCCCCCAGTGTGGCCCTCCCTGAGCTCTGTTACCAGCAGTCTCCCTCCTATTGGCAGTGATTGAGCCCCCCCTTGCCCCTCCCCAGTGTGCCCTCCCCTGAGCTCTGTTACCAGCAGTCTCCTCCCATTGGCAGTGATTGAGCCCCTGCCCCCAGTGTGTGACCTCCCTGAGCTCTGTTGGCCAGCAGCTCCCCTCCTATTGGCAGTGATTAGCCCCCCTGGTTGCCCCCAGTGTGACCCTCCCTGAGCTCTCTGTTGGCCAGCAGTCTCCCTCCTATTGGCAGTGATTGAGGCCCCCCCTGGCTGCCCCTAGTGTGACCCTCCCTGAGCTCTGTTACCAGCAGTCTCCCTCCTATTGGCAGTGATGGAGCCCCCTGGCTGCCCCCCCAGTGTGGCCCTCCCTGAGCTCTGTTACCAGCTGTCTCCCTCCTATTGGCAGTGATTGAGCCCCCTGGCTGCCCCCCCAGTGTGGCCCTCCCTGAGCTCTGTTACCAGCAGTCTCCCTCCTATTGGCAGTGATTGAGCCCCCTGGCTGCCCCCCCAGTGTGGCCCTCCCTGAGCTCTGTTACCAGCAGTCTCCCTCCTATTGGCAGTGATTGGGCCCCCTGGCTGCCCCCCCGGTGGCCCCCGGACCCCCCTCGCCGTTGCTAGGGGTCACATCTGGTTGCTAGGGCCCCTCCCTGTCACTGGGCCCCTGTCCCGGTAAGTACCGCCCCCTCGCGGGTCGCAGGGGCCCCCGAGCGCTGAGGGCCCAGTGAGGGAGCCCGCGGAGCCCACCCTGCCCGCTCTCACCGCCTCCTGCACCGCCAGCACCGCTGCTCTCCCCCGGGGAGCCACACAGGCAACCACGGCCGCCAGCACGCAACCACGCACAACGTCACCGCACGTCAACACGCACAACGTCACCACGCACGCCAGCTCGCAACACGCCCGCCGCCGCAGATTGGCTCAGAACACGATGGTTGGCCACGCCCAATAGGTAGTACCCGGAATCTGATTGGCTGCGGAGCCAATGACTGACAGGAGACAGACAATGCAGTGGGCGTGGCTTCAGAAGCTGTCAGCTTGGAGGCGGGAGTCAGGGCCTGATTCATAAAATGTCCTGGAGGTCCATCTATAGCCATTAAATAATAAATATAATTATAATAATAAATAATAATAAAATAATAATAATAAATGAATAATAATATAAATAATAATAATAATACAAATAAATAATAATAATAATAATAAATAATATAATAATAATAAATAATAATAATAATACAAATAAATAATAATAATATAATAATAAATGTAATAATAATATAATAATAATATAAATAATAATAATACAAATAAATAATAATAATAATATAATAATAAATATAATAATATTAATACAAATAATAGTAATAATAATAATACAAATAAATAATAATAAATAATAATAATAAATAATAATAATAATACAAATAAATAATAATAATAATAAATAATAATAAATAATAATAATAATACAAATAAATAATAATAATAATAATAATAAATAATAATAAAATAATAATAATACAAATAATAATAATAATAAATAATAATAATACAAATAAATAATGTAAATAAATAATAATAATAAATATAAATAATAATAATATAATATTAATAATAATAATATAAACAAATAATACATATAAATAATAATAAATAATAATATAATATAAATAATACTAAATATAATAATATAAATAATAATAAATATAATAATAAATGTAATAATATAAATAATAAATATAATAATATAAATAATAATAATATAAATAATATAATCATAATAGATATAATAATATAAATATAAATATAATATAAATAATAATAAATATAATAATAATAAATATAATAATATTAAAATATAATAATAATATAAATAATAATAATATAAATATAAAAATGATATAAATAATAATAAATATAATAATAATAAAATAATAATATTAAAATGTAATAATAATATAAATAATAATAATATAAATATAATAATAATGTTAATAATAATACAAATAATACTTTTATAATAACAATAATAAATATAATAATCATAATAATATAAATAATAATAAATATAATTATGTAAATAATTATAATACAAATAATACTTTTATAATAATAACAATAAATATAATAATAATACTATAGTAATAATAATGTAGCGGAGACCGCTTCCTAGCTGGAACAGGGGACAAACCGCAGCACTTCTGCCCACAGTCGCCGTGGGTTGACTAGGGCCCTGGAACGGGGAATTAGCTCTAGTCCTTACAAGGACTTTCCCTGTTGAATCTCCTGCAAGCTGAAACAGCAGACACAGGAGTAAATCTTCTTTCCCTCCAATAACAGGACGACACACAATTTTGGAGTGCACACTGGAATAGATTTTAATGGTAGCATACCTGGCCTTTTATGCAAGTCCCCAAGCAAGGGGTACGCCCACATGGACCTTGTTGGGGACAGGGACACAAACTTCCAAACCAATAGCACATTTATAATGTAAGGCACTCCCACACAAGGCAAACAATCCCTCCCCTCTGCCTGGGAGATAATTGGATCAGATACGACATTAACCCAATTATCTCCAGGCAGAAAAAACACACATTTCTAAAAAGTCCCAAAAGTACCCTAAAACACATGATATCCCCACAAATGTCACATCCCCTGATAGCCCTGATCTGGGTGACCAACATATCCAAAAATCAGTTCAGGGGTTCAGAAATTCTATGGAAGTCATTTATTTGACCGACCGCACGCGTGGTCCCATGCCCAAAACAGTTCTAGTGAATCAGGGCTTGCGGTCGGTCTAATTCGGTAGTTTGAAAACGAACAAACTACCGAACCGAGTTAATAGTCTTACCCTGGAGCTTGTTCCCTTCATCCAGACGAATGATCACACCGAACAGTTGAATAGAACTGAATGCAGGCGATGACGGAGTTTCTGTATCCGATTTTAGTTCATGAAACCGCTGCCTGCTTTCATGCGAACAGGATGGCCGCCACCTCGTGGTTGTTCATAGGAATTGCGGCCACCCATACAAACAATTAGAACACTGCTGTGAGAAACGTTCCAAGGTGTTAATAGGTGTTAACAAGCTCCAGGGTGGTCTCTGGTCCGTGCGGTTGTTCGGTAAATGAACCATATAATCCCAATTGCATGAACAGAGATTTTTACATTATTTTTCACAGGGTCCATAGTCTGTGGGCAGGAGGCTGGCAAGCAGGCTTCTGCAGGAGGTCGTGGCAAACTTAGGTAAAAGGGGGAGTTTGTCATAAATAATAAATATAATAATACTACTATAATAATAAATATAAAATACCATTAATAATAATAATAATAATAATAAATATATTAACCCCTTAACGGCGCTCAACGGAAATTTTCCGTCAAGGCAGACCTACCCGTCAATTACTAAAGTTAACGCCAGATTGCCGCGATCGCTGCGATCGTGGGGTTAACGCTGTTGCTGGGTGCCTCGGTGTTTGAGGAAGCCCAGCAACAGCCAATAGCACTGTCCCAGCACATGTGATCGCTGTGACAGCCAGTGACAGCGATCACAGTGCAGCTGGGACTTCTGATCCTCCTCCCTCCACCTCTGTGTGTGATTAGAAGTGGAGAGAGACGGATCATTTGAAACTTTGTGTCCCTGACAGACACAAAGTGTTTAAAAGTAAAAAAAAAAAACCTTACTTTTAAAATTAACAAGGGTTTAACCCTTTCATCACTGACAGCAGTGATCACAATACTGATCACAGTACTTTACTGTGATCAGAGGGTTTTTTTTTTAACCCTCAGGGGTTTACTTTATTTATTTTTTAATTTATTTTTTTACTATTATTTTCAGTTAATTAAGTAGCTGGGGTGGATTGAAGCTAGGGGGAATTGGGGAATCTAGCATTAGTGTAGCTAGGAAGCTAAAAAGTTTAAGAAAGTTATTAAAAGTTATTAAAAGTTTATAAAAGTATAAAAAAAGTGAAAAAAGGAAAAAAGAAAAAAAAAAGTAGTTTATTGTAAGTCAAAGCATTTCTGCTTTGCTAGGTGTAAGCACTGTGTTTAGCGGTGATCTGATTTTTGTTTTTACCCACAGAGGTTCATTTTTTTTTTAACGTTTTTAGAGGGTTTAGAAAGTTTTTAAGAGTTTTAAAAAAGTGGGAAATATAAGTATTAAAAAAGTTCAGAAAACAAAAAAAGTATAAAAAAAGTTTTAAAAAAACAAAAAAAAACATTATTTAGTTAAAGTTAATTTTAAGCTTTCACCATGCTTAGTAGGTTTAGTGCCGAGGAGGCATATAATATATTAGCAGCCGACTCAGAGGCAACCGACACTGCCTCAGAGAGTGCAAAGGGTGACTATGTGCCAGACACAGATGAAGAAAGTGACGATACCCCTGGCACTGCTCCTGGCGCTGATAACTGGGTGCCCCCTAACAATTTTGTCCCTGACATCTCTCTGTTCACTGCGACTCCTGGTATTTAGGGAGACGTGAACAGCTTTAACTCCCAGGATTTTATGGAGCTGTTCCTTGGGGATGATTTTTTAGGGCAGATAGTTACACAGACAAATATTTATGTAGCGCAGTATCTGGCACAAAATGCAGCAAGTCACCTTGCCACAAAAGGGAGCTGGTACCCCACCAGTGTGCCAGAGTTAAAACAGTTCTGGGCACTAACCATGTTAATGGGAATTATAAAAAAGCCCAGCATCCGAATGTACTGGTCCAAAAACCCAGTATGCAATACTCCCATTTTCTCTCAGACCATGAGTAGGCCCAGATATGAATCAGTACTGCGTTTTCTGCACTTCAATGATAATTCGAAGTGCCACCCCAAAGATCATCCGCAGTATGACAAACTTTATAAAATCCACCCCCTAATTAACCATTTTAATAAAGAATTTGGCATAATTTATACTCCCCAAAAGAATATATGTATTGACGAGTCACTAATGAAATACAAGGGTAGGCTGGAGTTTAAGCAATACATCCCAGCAAAAAGATCCCAGTATGGCATCAAGCTATACAAGTTATCTGAAAGTAGCAGTGGGTATGTTTATACCTTCAGAGTATATGAAGGTAAAGATAGCCACGGGGATCCCCCAGGTTGCCCTGATGTAGCTGGGACTAGCGGAAAAATAGTTTGGGATCTAATGAACCCGCTACTGAACAAGGGGTACCACCTCTACCTTGATAATTATTACAACAGCATACCCCCCCAAAAAATGCTATATTGTTTTGAGACTGTCTGCGGCACTATCCGTAAGACACCCACTGGCTTCCCCAAGGCTCTGGCAGAGAAAAAAATTAAAAGGGGGGAAACGGCTGCTCTCTGCCTGGACTAACTGCTGGCTCTGAAATACAGAGACAAAAAGGAGGTGTTCATACTAACTACCATGCACAGTGAACACACACGCAGGGTCGCAGTCCATGGCAGACAGGAAACAAGACGGCTGCCTGTCTGCATTAAGCAATACAATAAACACATGGAGGGAGTTGACCTGTCTGATCAACTGCTGCAGCCATATTTGATCATGAGAAAGACCAGGGCCTGGTATAAGAAAGTGGGCATTTAT